CCCCGAAAAGTGTGTGAACTGCATACATATATGTATATGTACATTGCTCCACTTGAAATAGTTGGTTAAGAATTATAAATGATCGTCCAAGTCAGTCCATTTAACTGTATCATGCCTGATTATAAATTCAATTTCACTTATTCTAATGTGCATAACTTGTCATATTCTCACAACCGAAGTTCAGGTATTGATACCCAAGATGCTTGCAACGCTTGGATTTTTATTGGGACCTAGGATGCAACAATGGCATTCCAGAAAACGCAATTCCTCAAGGAATTAATGAAAGTGGAGAATTTTTTTACACTAGACGTGCCTCACATTATTATCTGAACTATGTGGTAATGGTCATAGGAAAAGTGCGTTAGTACGAGCTCACTGATCCACACGCATGTACAATGGTGAGGAATTCTTCACAAGTTTTAACATCCTGGTGAAAAACCATAAAGTTAGAAAAATGATGAATTTTGAGTATGTATTTATGGACTGTCAAATTAGTTAAGATTTTAATACCAGATTTTATTTTATCCAATAGTTCACAATTTTTCCTATATACAGACCTTAATCTCATAACCTTTTTCCCAGAACATAGACCGAACGAGCACTTGCTATTTTCTGAGGGTCATGCATGCAATCTTGATGAAAATTTGAAAGTATTTTATAAAATCACTCAACGGGAGAGAAACAACTCCCAATTGAAAAAAGTTTTAAAATTAATTTTTTCGCCGCTAAAGTTCCAAAAAGGGGAAATAAATGCGTTTTTTAGTGTAAAATAATTTTATGTGGCGAAAAGCATTGGGCTGTATTCCCTCTAATTATTTATATCATTTTGATATGTACATAGGTCAAAATTTTGAAAAATTTTGACATTAGTGGTTGACCCTTCTCATAAGCCGGATTGAGTAAGTTATGCACAGTGCGGTTGAGGCCTAGATCATGAGAACCCGCGGCTTCCTTCACTCTATGGTCTGGAGGCAAAGGTTCTAACTCATCCGCACCATGCATAACTTACTCATCCTCAGTCCGGCTTATGAGAAGGGTCAACCACTAATTTCAAAATTTTTCAAAATTTTGACTTGCATATCAAAAATGTATAAATCATTAGAGGGAATACAGCCCAATGCTTTTCGCCACATGAAATTATTTTTTACACTAAAAAACCCGTTTATTTTCCCTTTTTGAACTTTAGCGGCGAAAAATTAATTTTTAAAACTTTTTTTCAATTGGGAGTTGTTTCTCTCCCGTTGAGTGATTTTATAAAATACTTTCAAATTTTCATCAAGATTGCATGCATGACCCTCAGAAAATAGCAATTGCTCGTTCGGTCTATGTTCTGGGAAAAAGGTTATGAGATTAAGGTCTGTACATATACCTAAGCACTCTTAGGAATTATTTAATCGTGTTTTACAATATTGACGACGCATTTATGTGTTTTATTCGTTATGGTAGAATAAAATTTCACTGGGAAGAAAATAGTTGAACATTCAATAGGAAAACGAGGAAATACCACCTTATTCCTTGTAAATTAAACAAATTGAGAATACTTACATTTCCTCTACGTGCGCTTGATTGATTTTGAGACGGAACCAAACCCACACTGATCAATTGTGATCCTTGACATATGTTGCAATTCTTTAGCTTCACACTGACTTACGAGGGAACCTCTTATAGTGCCCGGAGCTCCAGCATAACCACTATGTACATTCGACGTAGATTTTAATACTAGTCCGATGATGTGACAAAATTTCCGTGTCAAAATGACATTTCGTCAAGTGGTGACGACTTTAGTGACGCCCCGAACGGTCACTTTCGCCCATGCTTTCAAAAGAGGAACGCTTTTCACCACTCGCTCCTCACTCATCTCACTTAAATCTCAACCCATTTTTTCGACATAATTTCCCATACGATGGATGGATTTATAATCACGAACTTTACTATACCTACGCCTTGTCTTTTCTAATTTTTTTTGGCACGATTGTAGAAGTTAAGAATATTCACCATCTCTTGATAGGTAAAATTTACACCGTCGACATCTTCTTCCACCCATTCCTGTGAGGTTCGTTGCGACAGACTTGCAGAAGCTTCCTCGCCGTCTTGCTCATCTTCAGAATCCTCATGAAATTCATTTATTGTATCACTATCACTAATTAAATCGTATGCATCGACATAAGTGTCAATATCACAATCATAATCAAATTCTAAAGTAATAGAAGATTCAAAGTCCGTATTTGAATTATCAACTAAATCTTCCACAAAATGCAAAATCCGGTCAACAATTTCAACGTTGTTAACTGGAATTGATGAAGCGTTCGAATCTCCCGAATACCTGTCCTTGGCGATTTTAAGAACAGACTCACAAATTGATACAATATAGACATTCTATAATTTTTAAACTCCGAATATTTCAAGGTAAAAACTAATATTAAAAGGCTACAAATAGTAAACAAGGACCATATTGTCAAAAAAGTTAAATTGGATGCGAGTTTACTCAATGAGTAAATGGGATGAGATTTAAGTGAGATAAGTGAGGAGCGAGTGGTGAAAAGCGGTCCTCTTTTGAAAGCATGGGCGAAAGTGACCGTTCGGCGCGTCACTAAAGTCGTCTCCACTTGATGAAATGTCATTTTGACACGGAATTTTGTCACATCATCGGACTAGTATTAAAATCTACGTCGAATGTACATAGTGGTTATGCTGGGAGCTCCGGGCACTATAAGAGGTTCCCTCGTTAGTATTATTCCTTTGTTTTCCTCTGTATTATGATAGCATCTGTACTTTGCACTTTTGTCAGTACTGCATGGTCACCACTAATTTTTATCTCGTTGCATTTAATATTTTTCAATTTTGTAGTGCAAACCTAACACAAGTATGGATAATTCAGTTAGAAACGAAGAGTTGTTTTGGTATGGATTTGCTTGTAGCCATAACGTTGCATATCTCACGTCGGAAATTGTATTATTTGTGCCAGAGAAAACTATTCGAACCAACCCTTCAGTGACGACTAAATCGGATAAGGAACAATGGGATGAACCATCGTCGAAATTTACATTAAAATAAGCAGACGTACGGTTTTCTATCTTCACTCTTTCTATAGAATTGCAACTACCTTGGTTTTCAATTTGGTTATAATAAGATATGTCGGGCAACGGGTAATAATAAGCGGAAAACGCCACAATGTACTAAATCAATTATTTGATCCGCACACACTAAAAATTCGAGGTAACCCTTTTTTTGTGTAAAAATGATTCCAACACTGTACATTGTAAACCGTGTCCTACCGGGAGTAAAGTCGTCAATGCGATATGGTGTTAACCCATGAGTGACAGAGTGCCGAGTAAATGTCGACGGGCTTACTCGTCCCCGGGTTAATGTTACCCAGGCACGAATTATGCCACTGCAATTTACTCTTCACGGAGTAAGAAGGAAGCGTCGGGCGGCACGAAGCTTTGTCAGTCCACCACTCGCCAAAATAACTTTAACTTTGTCTGGCTGCCGTAAATTTGATAATTCTGCTTAGATAAATAATTAATAATACATAGATACACAATTACTAATAATTAGTTAGCATAATCCTTTTTTGGTACACAAACTACTAGTGATGTCCAGTTTTACTGAAATAACACGGCAATTGAAATAAGTGCAATGTGATTTGAGCGATTACTTCCCTAAGTTTCAAGGTCAGTTTTTATTATAATTTTGTGGGGATTTGAAGTCATTCGTACTAAATATTTAAAGGTGTTTTATTTTTCAGATAACCACACATGTGAGGACACCTTGTCGACGTTCAAAGAGACCGACCTGGTTCCGAGCATTCGAAATCATTTTAGACTTTGGACAGCCATTAAGAATTCGGGCAACTATCTATAATTTATTGGGTTTTACATAGTTATATTTAGATATTTGACAAGCATAGAAATAGCTTTAAATTGTTACCCACAATTTTGTTACACCTAATTAAATATGGAGTTTTTAATTGAATTTAATATTAATTGTCTGTTAATACGCATACATTACATGGATAACTCAAAACCAGTAAAAACAACCCCGTAACATGTAAAGTGGTAGCTCGGTACCGAGCTAACGGTAACCCCTTTACGAGTTATACGCTAACCCTGTGCGGGGCTAGCCACCAACTCGCTCAGGGTAAAGTCGGTTACCCTTTAGCAAATTCTCTCGGTTTTACTCTGTACAGCGTGGAATCACTTTCAAGTCCGCATACCTCTCCCTTGTTGTTAATGGTCATATATGCCGTATTTGGCAAAAATTGCAGAATAAGGAAAATCATTTCATTAGTTTTTTTTATATATTTCGGAAAAGTTTCAAATTTTTTAGATTACGTGGAATTTACCCCACATACATTTTTTTGCATTTGATCCCTTTCAACTTTTACCGGCACACAATTTGTGGCTCACTGTAGGTAACGAATTGGTTCATTTTGATGGCGTACTTTGTGCACGGTCCAGCATACATAGATACATGGTACTCAAAATTAGTTTACCAGAAATGCTCGAATATGTCGCAGAATGAGGTATTCATGACCAACCTATCAATTCCATGGGTCATTTTTTGCGGACTCGACCTCTGATCTAGGCAGAAGCAAGATTACGTTATTCTACATGCATATGTGCATACATAAATTAAATTCGTAGTAATGCAAGAACTTACCAAGTAGAGGAGATCTTTCTACTATACTTTCTGATACACTCTGCATGTGAGTATGTAAATGTAGAATATTTACATAACTACATAAACACACATGTCTGTTAGGGAACGTCCATATATTACGTCATCATTTTAGTGGGTGGGTGGTTCACGCCTTTCAGGTCTTTCTACCTTGCCTGTGTTAAAATTCCTTCTCCCTTAATGTATAAGTACGTTAAGTAGGTGGGTTAAGGTCGAGAATGTTTGATGACATTGTATATGGATAGCCCCTTATGTACTTCTTCAATAAATAGATAAGAAGAGTAACAAATACGTCGTAAGTTTCACTTTATTCTGGATCGTGGCAAACGACAGATATATATGTACAAACCTATTTATTTGTGTGTGATGAGTTTTACATCGTATTTTATCCTCCTCCTCGGATTGACTGGATCTTGGTGGTGAGTATTTACATATATATTTGTCAAAATTTTCGATCCAAATTTACAGAATTGGATTGTAATATAGAGATTAATATGTATTTGGCCTAATGTATTTAGCAAATACAAAATTTTACGTGATACTAATGATTATTGAACCTATTTAAATGTCTGCATTTCTTATTTTTTGACTTGCCATTATGCAGCGTGTATATATTTCGTTATCGAAAAGGTGGGTGGGAGGTTTGGGGTCGTCGATCTACAAACTCGTGCTAAGGTTGGTACATACATATGTATGAGTCGGATAAGGAATTTTCTTAAAATCGGCGTCTACTGTAGCGACGTTCTCTTAAACGATTCCAATGTGATGTACACATGCATTCATTCCACATGTACATATGTAAATACATCAATATCAATATTTATTAACAGTGTTTGTCATGAAAAACGAAAACAAGCTTAAAGAAATTACTGCAAGAAATGTTTTTTTGCACGGATACATATTTATATGATGGGTATGGGGGACAACCAGAGCTGGATAATCCTGATTAAGGATTATGGATTTTAATCCCGGATTATGGATTATTAATCCATAATTCCTAATCCGGAAATGTGAGTTTTTTGTAGATTAATCCCAATCCATAATCCCGATTATTCTGGAATTAGAATTAATCCGGGAATAATCCCATTTGATTTCATTAATCCATAATCGTGATTACGGATTACTAATCCTGATTAATCCCAATCATGATTACTAATCATGATTATTAATCCAGATTAATCCAAATCATGATTACTACGTATTCATGATTAATTCTCAAGCTGGATTACTCAGTTCATTCCCATAGTTCCATTCATCCCACAGTGTAGCTTGAAGTCTCAAGTTCTCACAATGTTGTTCTGTCAGCTACCATTTGAAGAATCAACATGTTCTCGCTGCCCTGTGCTACATAACATATATGTATCAATTGAAACTGGCATCATTTTTATGTGAAACCACGTAGTTGAAATTTTTTGCGCTAGATATAGTGAAAAATCATTAATCACCAAATTAATCCGGATTATTAATCCATAATCCATAATCCCGAAATTTTCAGAATTTATGGATTAATCCGGATTAATCCTGACATGAATTAATGTCACGAAAATAAATTTAATCACAATCCACATTGTTTTTGTGGTTAATCCATAATCCTTAATCCACCCTCAAAAACCAATAATCACCCAGCTCTGGGGACAACCCTAGCGTAGCGTTATAACCCATTTTACAGACTATGTACCATAAAGGACCGCGAATATTACGTGTATTGCTTGCACCCTGTATGTTTTTTATTTGCTTTAGTTTTAACCCAAGAAGTTCAGAAAACGTTCAATAAAATAAATCATGGACCGATTATAAAATTCCTACTAAACCAACAGTTCTAAAATTTGTCTTTGGATAATATTCGTTTGCCTAGATAGAAAGTGCGGATCAGCAGAACGTTAACGATCTTCTGAAAGTGGTGAGGAAAAACTATGTACATATTTGTACGTTTTAATTAACCACGACATAATTTACCTTTCTGCACAAAGTTTGCCGATCGATTGTCCCAAAATTCCCACGAAGGATGACCTGGCCGCTTTGGAGACGAGATTCAATGCGAAATTGGATGGACTAAAATCTGATTTGGAGGCACTAATCAAAGGAGGGAGTAGGAAAGATGAAGGAAATAGCGAGGGAGAAAATAATCATGGAAGGAAGCCTAGGTCGATGGAGGTGCATATTTCATTTTTTGCTACATGTATCGTCAGAATAATTTGACTTACCGGTTGAAAATAATATTGAACGTGATTGCTTAGTTTTTATGCCTAATATTTCTTCGATGCGTACATAAACCTACACTCTAAGGAACCCGTAACTAAGTTATTCCCAGGCAGAGTATCTACATATATATGTGACTCTACCGCATTGTAATTAGTTTATTATTAAGTGGTTAGACATTTTGTTGCCAAACCTGTAATCACCCCTGTCGCGAAATTTGAAAATATTACCAGTTGGTAACCAATTTTCTACCACTCACTAATAAATAAATTACCTTGCGGTAGTCACATATTAAGATACTCCGCTTGGTAATAACTTAGTTAGTTACCGGGTTTCTTAGAGTGTACATATGTATATCTGCATCAATTTAAACGATTAGGTGATTAGGTGATACACCTAGAAATTAACGTGCTACGTATTTGTATGTACATAAACACTTGCTGAAAAAATAAATATCTTTACTTTTCAGTGAAAAGTAGAACCATTTATTTCTTTATATTTATTCTTTGTTAATTTATTGTCCCACTTAAAACCTCGCCTTTTATCTTTCAGGTACCAGATTTCGTTGCATCAGATTACAGATTGGGGATATTAACAGCAGAAGTGCGAAAGGTAGTAATGTATAATTATGGGAGGTAGTAATGTGAGATTTATGTATACCTGTTTGTTTAAATTATTATGTACGCTTAAGACTTGCACTAAAAATGTATGACCCGAACTATTTATTTAATATTGACCGCGTCCCCAAAAAAATATTTCCATTAGAGGACTTTTTAAAATTTCCAAACACGTACGCACTAGACAATCTGTCAAAAATCATGAGGAAATTCTCATTGATAATGCTTATTATGACTGCATTGTATTGTGCCTCTTTATTCAAGTTTCTTTCCCACATCCTCGCTCATATTGAGTTACATTGTTCAACTAGAACACTTATTTTACCTTTGGTGACAAATATTATAAACAATTTGTCTACATACTCGTTTAATTTTAATATAAAAAAACTGTCAGCCACCGGGATCATATTTCAATTAAGAATGTACCGACCTACATAAATATAAAGATCGGTCACGATGGTATCGGAGTGACGAAATAAAATTAACAGAACTTTTTACACAGTTAATGCAATTTCAAAAAAGTTTGCATATGTTTACGATCAAAGGGTTTGGATTGCCATACAGTTCAAGTTTTAATGATTCAATTCCGCTGTCTGCTACAGATTGCAGTTTCTTCTTCCGATTTCGCGTCAAATTCCGCCCATAGACTGCACCTACTTTCAAGCTGATTTTCTTCCATCTGTTCTTAAATTTTCGTAAGCTGTCTGGCCTTTCTGAAAGCTTAGAATGTTTGGACTTAGTCAGCGCTCAGAATTTCAATTTGGTGGGTTTCCATTTTTTTGCACAAATTTCGCACCAGTACCGACATCTTTTTCAGATGTCGGTACTGAGTGACCTTTTTGGCGTCATGGGACCTTGCTGAGGTCAGGCCAAAACAAAACTTTATTTTTTTATGATCTTTAGTACTAGGTGGCCCAAGTAAAGTGTTAGTAGATTGAAACGCTGTAGCTTAAGCAGTTTTTGTGTTACAAATTTCTAGTAAATTTTAATGGAAAGCCAGTTAATTTTTAAGTAAAAAACAATTTTTGGTTTCTGAAATTTCCCCCCAACATTAACGCAGAGCTGAAGACGCTGCGTACAGCCCTTGATTGGAGCACGCTCGGAATCCGTGGACAAATAGCTCCATTTAATGATCAAAGAATTTTTTTAAGCTTTCAGACTTCTAGGAGGCTTAGAACACACCTTTGCCACTAACTTTGACCATTTTTCATAATCCGGGATTTAAATCCAGCAGGGAGGATAACCATTCCATAGTTGATATAAAGTCTGGAATTTGTTTTTTTAGCAACGCGTACATCTTTTTTTCACTATGCACTGGTGCTGATTTATGCTGCGAGGTCTTATCGAATTCATTGAATAGGATCTCACTTAGGGGATGTTCCACGGACTCAAAAATATATTTTGAGAAATTTTATTCCTTCACCTTCCCCCTATTTGGATAAAATGTAGAGAAATTGCCCCAATCAGCTCAATCTGCCAAAGCCATCACAAAACCTGGATGATGTGAACCTTTGACCTCTTTTCTGTACTGGGGACATCTTTGACAGATTTGACCTAGATTATGGCACTTTGTGTGCTAAAAACTTCTTCGGACGTGAAAATCTCCCCATCTGTAAAAAGAATCTTCTTCTCGTTCGATTCCTCTCTGTCCGGGAAGCTATTTGCTAATCCTACTCGGCTCGGTGTTAGTACGGGGTGGGTGCTCCTCTCATGGTTGGGTGAGCCCGGCCAGACGGATGCAATCCAGCAGAAACGAGCTCCTGCAAGAAGTCTCAACCGTCTCGCGAGAAGATCCAACTTCGAGATATATATGGTGAGAAGGAATCGTCACGGATTGAAAACCAGATGAGTTAATCTGATATCTAATGACGTTAAAGGATTATTTTCATTTTTCATTTTTCACTTTTTCGGCGCGTACCGCTTGAGGAAAGCCCCTCATTTAATTAGTAGGGCTTTCGTTCTGGTATCATCAAGAGGTGGCAATACCACATTTCAAAATCTTAACCTTAAGGTTCAGTTTGAGCACTTATTGGATAATCTGCGTCAACAATGTCAGGCTGTGAAGCTATTTTCCGTAGGAATTCGTGGATTTCTTAGGATTCTATCCTTCAGCGCCTTCACGATGGTGTGGTCCTTGGAGGTTTTCCAAAAATTTGTCTTCGACTGTTCTTAGTCGATGGGGTCCTCATCAACGTTTTTATAACCCGCTGAACTAAATTAAAGTGCACGTTCGATTCCTGTCACATTTTTCAAATTCGTCATTTCTCTTCCCATTTTTTGGTGAAAAATTATCGTCGCCCGCGTCCTTTCTAGATTTTCTCTGCCGATATGCTTTGGAAGCAGTTGAAAACTGATTTATGATATATATGCAAAATCGCACGAGGAATCCAACGCACTTATCAGATTTTCATTATCTCTAGCGATTTTAAATTATTAGCTACTAACACTTAGCTTGGGCCCAGTAAGTAATAAATGATTCCAATCCCCCTTTAATGCATGATTTAAAATAAACCCCCTGGTTTACAGTGCCCTCCAAATAACGGGATCGAAAACATGACCAATGCTAGACATGCGTTGCCAAATTCTTCATTGTTTTGTGAATTGGTCTTTCTTTCGACTTTGTCTTCATATTTACTTCACAGGGTTGGAACTACGGAAAAAATGCCTTCCTGGAAGATTTGAAGTTTCATCTGTGCGTGGGGCTCATCGTCCATGATGACCACTTTCCGCGAATCTTCATCAACAATTTCTTCCAGCACGCATGAATCCTTTCCTGTTGTGTTGGTTTGTAATTTGGTGCTGGTTTTTTCCCCTGGCTACAATCCCTAGTTTATGGACTTGATTTTGCTCAGATAACTTTTTGAATCTTGCCCTTCCATGTCGTGGCAGCCGTTGCCAGTTGATGAATGATTTTTGAAGATTTTTTAAATCCGATTTTTGACT